TGGAAAGAATATCCATCGCATCGAGGTGTCCGTGTCTGTTAAGCATGCTTGCTACTTCAGAAACTGCCATTTGAGTTCAGTGAACCTGTCAAATGTGTTTTATAACTTAGGTGCGTAGTTTTATGACAAATGAAAGGCGTAGATAATTTTCGCTAAAAATGGTTTGCAGAGGTTTGAAACATTTATATTTTTAAGAGTACTGTTGCTTGTCATGCAAACGTGATGATTGGATCTTGAAGAGAATTGAATGCTCTTTCTAATGATAGCATTTTCAGTTGTCAAACGCATCAGGCTAAGCAGGAAACCCCGTGTAATTATTTAGTGGCACATTATGGACAAATGCCATTTTCTTTAGCGATTTATTCCACCTTATTTTTGATCAATTAGCTTTTCACAATTTTCCCATGAGAGGTGGTACATTTCCTTTGCCAATAGGCATTGTTTTAACCAGGGCTGCGGAGTCGATGAATTTTCGGCGACTCCGACTCCGACTCCGACTCCGGCTTTCAAAAACCATCTCCGACTCCGACTCCGACTCCGGGCAGAATTGTCGACTCCGACCGACTCCAACTCCGACTCCGACTCCGCAGACCTAGCAGGGCTGCGGAGTCGACAGATTTTCGGTGACTCCGACTCCGACTCCGGCTCGGGTTTCTAAAATCGAGTCATCGACTCCGACTCCGACTCCGGTCACAACTGTCGACTCCGACCGACTCCGACTCCGACTCCGACTCCGACTCCGCAGCCCTGGTTTTAACTCTCTCAGTCTGACGGTCACGTGAAAATAAAATAAAATCCGAAATCCGTCCGAAACGTCAATTTTTCAAACAAAAGTGCCCTCACGGGTGCACGTGGCGCGTGCCATCCACTGCACCGCACACCATTCGATAGCCCGTTCGATTCTCTACACGATGCTGTTTTCCCCGTGCCGTTTGGGAGCACGGTTACCGAGATATTGTACGGGGACCGTACCCGTGTCGGGCGAATTTAGCCATTTTCGCCCGTTTTTGCAAGCCGATTTATACATGTAAAGTCTATGACGCGAATTTGCACTTTTTGGGCACGCGCCACGCGCTCGCTATCGATCCGATCGAGCCGAGACCCCTCAAAGGCACGTTGTCCATCCTTGTTCTATAAGTTGCGCAAATTTCAGCGCGGTAGGTGCAACGGTCTGACCTGTAACCCGCGCTACGTAGCCCCATGTCGCGACCTCGGTAACAGACAGAAACTACGTCACCACAAATAGTAATATAGACAAGCGGCTGCGCCACTTGCTTCGCGGCGTAGCCAGAAAATGCGGCAGCAGCCAATTTGTTTTCGACTGGAAGCAGATATATGGACGGAAACGTGGAGAAAAATTTTAAACATCTAGATAACTATTCTGAGGGCTTAGTTGGATGAAATTTGGGTCTTACGGGGTCAAGTCAGGTCAAATTGGTCATCCCTGGTCACACCGGGTCAGGCCATGTCACCTTCGGTCAGGCAAGGTCGTATAGGTCACCACGTCACATTGGATCGGCCACACACTACTACTTCTACCCATACCACTACTCCTACCACTACTCCTACCACTACCCCTACCACTACCTCTACCACTACCCCTACCCCTACCAGTACCACTACCCCTACCCCTACCACTACCACTACCCCTACCCCTACCACTACCCCTACCACTACCCCTAATACTACCCCTACCCCTACCGCCACTCCTACAAATACTACTACCACTACACCTACCACTACCACTGGGTCATGTGAGGTCACAGACTATCAGATAAACTGATAAACTAAAAAAGAGTTCTTAAAACTGCTCCTACACGTATCACTCCATTATTCTTTATCATATTTGGTGGAAATGGCGCCTTGAGACAAATGTGGCGCATTGCGACAAAAGTGGCGCATTTGTGCCTGTCGTCTTGCCATGCATCCTTCCACAGAATTGCACCTTTATCGGACCATATTTGACAAAGTTGTGCAATTTCCGGCAAAAATGGCGCCTTTCGACAAATGTGGCGCATTACGGCAAACGTGTTGCATTTGTGTTAGCGCATTGAAAACTGTCTTTATTTAACGAAAATCAACATCTTCACTCGCCTCTGTTTATCAGAATAAATAAGCTGCCAATCCGTAAATGAGATGCACCCGCCGCCGCTTGCCATGCATTTTAGTTGCAAAGTCCATCGAACCCGGCTGCCGATGCCTTGAAGACCGAGCAAATTTGTGAGGAAATGCACCTTTTTCCAGCGCGTGCCACGTGCGAACCATCCATCCCCCGAGACCCGAAACACGACACTGCACGTGCCCGTGACGTCATCAACACCGTGCGAAAATTTCAGCCCCATCGAACGCACCGTTTGACCTGTGCACGGCGTCAAAGCACACCTCTGCAGGTTGCAAACAGAAACACACACATTCACACATACCTACAGAGTTTCATTCTACAAATAGTATAGTAGACAAGCGGCTGCGCCACTTGCTTCGCGTCGTAGCCAGAAAATGCGGGAGCAGTCAATTTGCTTTCGAATGGTCTTTGATTTAAATTGATCTGTCGTCTGGAAACAGAGATATGGACGGAAACGTGCAGAGGAAAACTTTGAACATAATAACTATTCTGAGAGCTTAGTTGGATGAATTTGGGTCATACGGGGTCAAGTCAGGTCAAGTTGGATATCCCTGGTCACACTGGGTCAGGTCAGGTCACCTTCGGTGAGGCCAGGTCGTATAGGTCACCACGTCACATTGGATCGGCCTGTACCACACTTCTACTACTTCTACGCATACCAGTACTCCTACCACTACCCCTACCACTACCCCTACCACTACCCCTAACACTACCCCTACCACTACCACTACCCCTACCACTACCCCTACCACTACCTCTACCACTACCTCTAACACTACCCCTAACACTACCCCTACCACTACCACTACTACTACTACCCCTACTACTACTCATACCACTACTACTACCCCTACTACTACCCCTACCACTACCCTACCCCTACCCCTACCCCTACCCCTACCCCTACTACTACCCCACTACTACTACCCCTACCACTACCCCTACTACTACCCCTACCACTACTACTACCCCTACTACACCTTTTTGCGTTAGCTTTTGACCATTGGGCAAAACATTTGTACACATTCGCCATATAGATGGCGCTACAAATGGGCGGTTGGCCAAAAAGAATCACCATTGTGCAAAACTGTTCGGCGATCCTCCTCTACAACTCGACATTGAGCGAATGGTTCAACATTGTGCAAAACAAATCGTCAATGGTCGAAACTATTCGTCATTGAGCAGCCGGGAATTCATGATTGGCCAAAACCGTCTATGGAAATTTCAGCATTCATAAAAACAGATCAACAAACAAATGATCGTGTGCACTGGCGGCCACAGGGGGTATGGAGCAGCTCATGGGGCCCAATCCTTGACATTTCCCTCATATAACCGAGTGGATGATGGAACAAGCACACCGGGCGGCCAGTAAGTGTTCACTGGACGAGACCGACCTCAGCCGGCACACCCAGCATATAGGTACGTTCGGCTGAGCCCGGGAGCTCACCATATTTATTTGTGCGCATTAGTCCCACACCAAACAGATAAGCAACACCTTGCGCTCATTCTAAGTCAGCTGAACGGTATCGCCTTTGGGCTCGAAATGAGATAGGCCTCATAAATTGGCGAAACCTTGCCCTCGTGAGGGAGTTGCAGGATACCAAGGCGACCGTCATGGCAGATGTGCACGGCGTTCGTCAGCCTCCGCCATGAGGATAGTTTGCTTATTCGATGTGCCAATAAAGAGCTCGTCTTTGAATAGGCTATTTACATAATTATAACTTTTGTAATTAAGTGCCCACCGACCAACGTAGGCGTGCTAGGTTGGAATGTTATGGTGCATTGACGGAAATGACTTCAATGCATGCATTTCACATATTGAAATCAGCTGTATGTGTGGCATTGCAGGCAAAACATTGCAAGCAAAAACAAAAACCCGAAGAGCACATTGTTTTTTCTTGTTGACACTTGACTAAATGACGTCAAAGGTAAGTTTAAACAAAAAATGTCGGCGGCATTGATTGGCAATGCTTGCCGGTAAGATAAACGTACTGCATGGCTTGACTGACAATTACCGTACTGTTCCATTCATAGAAAGAAGCTAAGGAACGGCTGACTTAGAAATGCCCATAATGTTCATGCTCAAGTGGTGAATGGTCGAGGTGTGTTAGATCCATTTAAAAAAACGGCCTGGATATCCATCTATTCTGTTTTTAACATTGCTGAAGTGATATCACCAAATACCGAGGAGTTTTGCACATTGCCGAAGTCATGGCGAAGTGTCAAACTGTTTTGCAAATCGCTCATTTCAGTGTTAAATCTGTTTTGTCGAATGGCTGAAATGAAACACACGACGCCGGAATAGTTGTGCTCAATGCCGATTGTCGAAACGGCTCTTCAAACAGTTATGGCCAATGGTTGAATTCAATTGCAAAAAGGTGTACTACCCCTACCACTACTACTACCCCTACCACTACCCCTACCACTACCCCCACCACTACCACTACCACTATCACTACACCTACCACTACCACTGGGTCATGTGAAGTCACAGATTATCATATAAACTGATGACCTAAAAAAAGAGTTCCTAACCGTGCTCCTACTCGTGTAATTTCATTATTCTTGATCATATTTGGTGGAAATAGCGCCTTGCAACGAATGTGGCGCGTTTAGACAAACGTGGCGCATTTGTACCTGTCATTTTATCATGCATCGTTCCACCGAATTGCACCTTTATCGGGCCATATTTGACAAAGTTGTGCGATTTGCGGCAGAAATGGCACCTCGTGACAAATGTGGCGCACTACGGCGAACGCGGTGCATTTGTGTAAAGGTCGCCGTCCACTGCACTTTTATCCGCCGAAAATAAGCGCTTATTGGCAGAATTAACTACAGAGGCAATGGTAGGAGCAGAATCTGTAAACGCCGAAACGGCCCAGCCGCCGACAACGTCTTTCGGCATGTTTATCTTTTCATCGCTTACTTTACGCTCTTAATTTAGTGGCGGAAAAGTTGGATCGTGGGAGCTTTTTCTGCCGCTGTTGACGCCGACTGCGCAAGATTCGAGCCCATACTATTATCTTTTGCGGTGAATAAAGACGGCGGTATCGGGATTTCTTGAAATGAAGTGAGTATATTTTATATATTGATATAGCAACAACCTGTAAAAACCCAATTGAGGTTTATTTTCATGCTATAAAGGGGAAAAATCGTTGTGCAAGGATTTTCTATTCATCCTCCGCAACGACATCTCAGCATTTTTTCGAATTATTTGTGTCTTGTAGACTTTCAAATGATAGCATTTTGTTGACAATTTTATTATATGCATGACATAAACCAGGGGTGGAGATCTGTCAAAATTTCAAGGGGTTCCAGGCTGGGCAGATGGAGGCGGGCTGGATGCAGTACCATTGACTTGCATAGCAGTAATTTGTTTTCAGGGGGGGGGAGTCCTGACCCCCCGACCCCCCCCCCCGAGATCTCCACCTCTGACATAAACTCATCATGGGCGTGGTATGCTGTAAGTGCTTATTCCTTGGTAGGTGGCAGGCTGATATTGAATCATAGATCATCTCAAATAAATTCACAATATTCCAGACGCAGGCAGCCTTCTGCTGGGTTCCACTCAAAGGTGCCACTGAATGTTGATGTACCTATTTCTGAATGGAACTTGGGATAGGTAGTCTGGGATGAGACTGTAGGTATCTAATCCACTCCAGATCTGGTATGTCCAAGTAGATTATTTCCCCAAATTTATTTATGTCGGCATGGGCATTCCTTCGTTCTCAAATTCGCATTGATCCATATCCATTTCTGCAGCACATTTGAATAAAAGTAAAGAAATAAAATGTGTTTCTTAACAACTGTGAGTCTGCCAACCTGGAAAAACACGTTATGCCGAATATGTCCAGCGTAGTGGCAGGATTGTGCCAAAGATTTCAGTGCATGTCCATCTTAACTTCGCATGCACCAAGGTCAGCACATGGTGGCTGCTGAATTTTTCGGCGCAGCCTGTGACTGGCAAGTTACATGGCAGTTTCATTGCCAGTCATATTTTAGGTTGAGTGATTGTGTATCAGGTGTTCAGCATTTTGCCTGAAGCCAAAGATGACCACTCTAGGTATTTTTTTTTAACATTACAAAGTCCCAGTGTCCCAAAAATGTATTTTGGTGTGGGTGTCGGAGGGGAAAATTCTCCACCTAAAAGGAAATGAGATTGGAAAATTGCAGGTCAGATAACGGGTCCAAAAAAGGTGGGAAAGAGACCAAGAGCATAAAATGATGTACAAGTGTATTAGAATGTAGGTCTATGATATAAAGCGAACATCTGACGCAAATATTTAATCAAAGAAAATTGGGAGTGCAAAATTGCTCCTAGAAATTGGAGGTAAGAGTGAAAATGGGTTTCATTTCGGTGTCATTTGCCACCCAAATCGACAAATTTTGGGACACTAGCATTACCAAAATCTTTCCCAAGGTAATGTCATTTTTAAATGCTGGTATTTCTATGACGTGTGTGTGTGTGTGTGGGGGGGGGGGATCTTAGATTTCTCAAGCTCAAAGATTTCTCAGACTTGCCTCCAACTTATAACAACATCTGTCAAAAATTATCCCATTGCTGTTGCTCTGATATCTTCCTTTTCTGTCACGATAGGCCCGGAGACAGCCAGCTGGTCGAAGCTGTTCGTAAGCGGGAGGCACTTTGGAATGTGCGGCAGGCAGCATATCACCAGCGCAAGCACAAGCTGCGGCTATGGGCGGAGGTGGCGGCAGAGACCGGACGAAATGGTGAGCATTTTCTGAAATGCATTTTTACATTGACTTTGTTTTGGGCGTATAATGGTCGTTTCACAAGACGATCTATACAGGTCTGGAGACATCAATGAGCTCGCCTAGCCACCACCCCACTGACATCTGGCGGAGCTTGTAGACACCAACCAATAGAGGGCAACACCAGCGGCCCCACCATGCGTAAACGCACGCACGTCACACAGCATGAAGTCGGCGGCGCCATACATAGGCGGAGCCTTTGTATGGCGGTACCGTAGATCAGTTGGTAGAGCGTTGGACTCCGTGTGGTGAGAGCACGCGTGCCCGGTCATAACAGTTCGGGTTCGAAGCGCGACGGGCGCTTGATATTTATGGGCCTTCTGACAGGTATGGTTGCGGTTGGTGGCAGGCCGTAGCCAGGCTAAGCCTGTGAGAGAGGGGACCGGCCGTGCGCGGCTTGTGCGCACGTTAAACTTAACCCTCGCCCATGTAGGGGGGGGTTGGTGCAACCCCCCCCCCCCTGAGGTTTTTCTTAGCTACACGCCGAACCGTTTCAGATAGCCTGCTCAAATTTTCAGTACCCTTTGGGGCATCCTTTGCGCAACTTTTGGTATTTTATTTTTGTCAAGGTCATGTCAGGTCACGGAGTTATGACGTCATAAAGGGAACAACCTCCGGCCAGATTTACGCTAAATTGGACATTGCTTCACATTGGTATAAATGCCGACTGACCTGACACACTGATGGATTGTTTTAGAATCACAACTGGCTGATTTGACATTGGCACCATGTTGACATTTTGAAGGTTACTAAAGGTCAAGGTAAGGTCAGTGACCTCGGTTGACCTGTAATGACTTCTTGCACTTGTATGCCTTTTCGGGGTATTTTGATGCCCTGAATTCGAATTTGCTATCCATTTCAGGCATCGTCTGTTGTTTCTTGTAGTTCATTTTGGGTCAGGGTCAGGTCAGTGACGTCACACGCCTGACGTGACCCAATGCACAAATGACCTTGCAGACTTCCGATGCTCCCAACGCATCATTTTTAGAGTTATGACATCGAAATACACACTAAACGATAGAGAATTGATCAAGGATCACGATAGTGAAGGTCTCAAGTCGATATCTCTTACCGTTTTGCCGCAATCGGCGCGGAAATCTGAAAAAGTTAGATTTTTCCGAAAATTTGACCTTTGACCGGTCATAAGTAGGTCAAATGTTGACCTATGACCAAAAAAATATACCACCAATCGCGAGATCTCGTTGAGAGCAATCCGTTGGTTTTTTCCGCTAACCTCTACGACGCTCCGTTTTCAAACGCCAGAGGGGGTCGCACCAACCCCCCCCCCCTGCATGGGCGAAGGTGGCAAAACACCGTTTACGGGCGAGGGTTAATTATGCCGTAGAACCGGAATTGCGCGATCGGAGGGTAGAGGGCAGGGTCACCGCAACAAGCTTCGCTTAGCGGTGGCCCTGTCCTTGTGAAACCTTCCTATCAAAAAGGTTCGGACTAATTTATTTTGAAAATAGCCTTTCTTAGGAAGTTTGTGGGGCAGAAATTCGTGTCCAATTGTTATGTTAGTTAAGGTGCATCACTGAATCGATTGTTTTCATTACATAGATAATATTTTGCACTACACAGACATTTCAAAGCTCCTCAATGCGAAAAAGATTGGTCTGCTAAGCAACAAATTCCTACAACTGAGCTTAAGTTGGTGGGGGCCAAACGCTTATAGGTGGGGCAAATTGCAAAATGGCAAGTTGGTGGGGTAGCCGCCCCACCAACTGAATAGGAAGCTCCTCCCCTGGCGCCATATCTAATCCAATCACCATCTGTATGACGTCTAATCTGTTTTTTCTTCACATTTATATATTAAGATTTCTGACGAACTATCCACCATTGTTTAGACTTAATCATCATTATCATCGAAATCAAAACGTATGTATGTATGTATGCATGTATGTATGTATACATGTGAATGGATACCAGGATAGAGATGTAGTAAAAAATAAAGGTATACTAAATACTTCGTTTTTTCAGTTGCTGATGTAAAGTCAAGATGGAAGTCCATCCGGGACTATTTTATGAAGTGTCGGCAGGCCCCGCCGAGCGGCTCTGCTGCCAGCTCGACCACCGACGGCGCCACGCAGAGGGAGCTGAGTTTCCTCAATGATTCTGTCAAGCCAAAGCCGTGAGTTTTTTTTTTTTACTCTTACCGTTTTTCCCTTCCGTAATAGATAAATTCGTACAATGCGTGCATTTTCTGTATTGTTTATTGCCAGTTGTCAGCTTGCTTAGCTCAGATATGTAAATGGATATGAATGTATAGTTTTCTATAGTTGTAGATGTTATGTGGGACAAGAGCTGATTGTGACCCCTCTATAAAAAGTTGTTTTTAAAACGGGCTTCGCTGAGGGCTTTATAGTACAACATTTAGGTTGTAATATGTAGGTTAGATGAAATGACCTCCCCTGCTTGAATAGCTTGTTTTCGCTTCACTGTTATGTATTGAAATTAGTTATCAATAGTTCTGTACATAACATATTTTAGTACGCAATAAGATTTGTAACGTTGGACGGAAAGTTAGATTACACGTACGGGGTGCGGTCTACTCCGTCTGGTGACGGTCGGCCAACTGAACGCCCCATCCACAATGAACTTTCCCTTTCCCCGATGAACATTTTATCGTCCAATGCTGAATCACACCATGCTTGCCTTATGACGGTCCTTTCACAGCGTGACAACAAACCTGACGGCGCCACATGCTGATCCTGATCCCTTATCGTTTGTAGAGGATCCTCACTTGGTAGGTTTGATGCTTTGCGCAGTCGATACGGTTTGCATGACGCGCTCTTGTAATAATGACCTTTGTGTAGTAGCGTAATCCTGTCAGGTAGCTACTTATCTTGCAATTCGTCTATTGTGGGTTGTGCAATTTAACAATCAACTGACAAGGTGAAACCTCCAATACTCCAAAACCTCCAAACTTAAAAAGCAACAACAAGAAGAGAAGGGCGTTTATGTCTAACTAACTTGTAACTAGTTATGTCGTTTAGGCGGACAGGACTGAAAGTACGAGGGTACACAGATTACCGTTCTGTATACTCAGCGCCACGGTCAAAGCCATGCTAATCTCTTTTTCAGGAGAACCCTGACATAGAAGAAGAACACTCTGGTGATCCATGGCTCGTATTCTCGGAAGGTCAGTTTCTTACTAAGGCTATAATGTCTACGTATGTTATGCAGTATGATGGAGATACTTTTTATGTGTATTATGCATTTTTAGAGTTCTTGAGATCACAGCGAAGGTTTTATGTATGTAGGCTAGCCAAACGTACTTGATGTGTGTTGACCGTAGATCATTAAAGCATCAACAAATACCAAAGCTTGTTTCGGAAAGAAAATAGCAGGTGTGATTGATGTACTAATAGCTCTATCTAACTTGATGCTTGTTTTTACTAAAGATGAAAAATAGAATTCGAAGGTAATGCATTAAATGCCCCTTCCCACAAGGGTCGAAATTATTATGTACCTTATACACAAGAACTAGAGAAAAGCGGTCGTCGATTCCCGACTCTGCAAATGGATAATTTTCCTTCTTTCACGACAGTGGACGACGAGTGGGAGCAGGACTCCGCACCCCGCGCGCCGGCTGGCCCGCAGAGGGCCTCTACACCTCGGGAGCCATCTGCTGATCGCCCGCAGCAGGCCTCCGCACCCCGCACGCCGCCTGCTGATCGCGCGCAGGAGGCCTCTGCTCCTCGGGCGCCGACCGCTGGTCGCCCGCAGCAGGCCTCCGCACCCCGCACGCCGCCTGCTGATCGCGCGCAGGAGGCCTCTGCTCCTCGGGAGCCGACCGCTGACCGACCAGAGCAGGGCGAAGTCCAGCCCCAGAGGCCTCGCCGGCGTGCCCGTCGGGTGGCTGCCGACGAAGGGACCAGGGAGATCCTGCAGCGGGCGATTGAGCAGGTGCAGCAAGCCGTCGAGAGGCTAGAGGACGATGATGCCATCTTTGGACATTTGGTGGGTCAGGATATCAGGCAAGTGGCAACTAGAAAGAAGTCCCTTCTTAAAATCCAAATCATGCAGCTGATCCACGCTGCGGCATATGAGGAATAAGTTAGTGATATCCAGTCCTGCAACAGCTACAGGGCACGGCATTTGTTTTGCTTTAAATCAATGCTGTTTTTAATGTGTTATAGAATCGCTAGGCTTATGTTTGATAATGTTAGCAAGCGCTTTTCTCAGGCTCATTGTTAATAAGATAATGATAAGAATCAGTAGCCTTATAATAAAGCTCAATGTATTGCCGAATATAATTAAACCAGAATGAGACGACAGTTTCGGGCGTAGCCCATTATCAAGTCTGACAATTCCGGATTTGAAATTTGAAATTTCAAATCCGAAGTCTACATTTGAAATTTGAAATTTCAAATCCGGAATTGTCAGACTTGATAATGGGCTACGCCCGAAACTGTCGTCTCATTCTGGTTTAATTATATTCGGCAATACATTGAACTTTATTATAAGGCTACGGCTTTTCATCATTATCTTAGGTTATAGAATCGCCGTAATTATTTATTTGCACATCAATTTTGTACTCGTGTTGATTCCAATTCATTACCGTTCAAATTCATTACACGCATTGTGGTTGTATCTGATCACGAGTGGTTGTATCTGATTATTTTTTGTTGCATATTTCGTCACAGCGGCCAGGAGAACCGTGCTGAACGTGTGTTTGTAATTGAAATATTCGCTGCCGGTGTTGGCTGGCGCCTGCAGGACGACATGTTTTCCATCGAGAGCTGCCACACAGTTTGGGAAGTTCCAACGGTCTCGGAAGGTGGCCTCGCTCCTCTCCCAGGTGTGGCGAGTAGGGGAGGCCAACACCTCCGGACCGACGGCGGCGATGATCGCGGCACACGTGTCGTAGACTATGGCGCGGACCGTCTTCTCTCCCAGGCGGTACGTGGGAGCCAGAGCCGAAAACTCCATCCCTGACGCCAGATACCGAAGGGTAACGGCCAGGCGCTGCGCGGGGTCGATGGGCTCTCTGAAGTTGGTGTGTTTTCTGGCGATGGTTGGCCCGATCTTGCTAAGAAGGAGATCGAAAGTGTCGCGGGTCATCCGGAAGTAGGTGCGGTGCCGCTCAGGGTCGTTGGTACGCAACTCTTGTACGAGGTTGAAGAATTCCCCCCGAGCTCGGCGGCGGCGGTTCACGTCAGCGACCCAGCTCTTGTGCCGACGTTTCGGACGGCACTCCTCGTCATACTCCATCATTAATAGCTCGGCTTGGGCCAAACTTAAGCCGACGTCCATTCTCGATATATAAAGTATAGAAGCAATAACAAGAAGATATATAAAGTATAAAAGCAATAACAAGAAAAGGTACTACCTGAGATGTTTTGTTTACATTTGTTTTCCTGACGGCGGTATTTGCTTCGTAACCCAAGAGTATTAAGAAAAAATGTCGCGTGCTTATTTTCGAAGGATTTTATTTGTTAATCTATTGCATCATGGTTAACCTGCTAAAACATTTTTTTATACTTTTATTTTTTATTTTCCTACAGAATTACCATCATTCTATGACTTCAGGTGGCTTGCACACCCTATAATAACAAAACACTTGATACTAACATAAGCGCGTACTTTCAGCACCTCTGCCGATGCTTTTTGTGCAGTGGACGGCGTCATTTTAGGAAACGCCGAAAATTCGCGCTTATCGACGATTACGCGCTTACTTTCGGCGGATGCCAATGTGCAGTGGACGGCGACCTTAAGCGTATTAAAAACTGTCTTTATTTACCGAAAATCAACATCTTCATTCGCCTCTGTGTATCAAAATAAATAAGCTGTCAATCCGTAAATGAGAGGCACCCGCCGCCGCTTGCCATGCATTTTATTGTCAAAGTCCATCGAACCCGGCTGCCGATGCCTTTAACCCTAGCCCGCACCAAGGCCCTATATAGAAGGTATGCTCATTAGGCCGAAGCAGCGATTTCCGTGACGTCACTGGTACGAAGGGTCGGACGGCTGTAATGCAGTCCTATGGAAAATGACCCAACTTTAGGGCTCTCCCACATAGCTGCCAACCTCGACACTAAGGTAAAAGTTATATCACATAAAAGCTCAAATCAAGACGAACAAGAAACCTATCTGACGTTTTTACGTATTGCTAACGGCTTAGACTCTATTCAAGTATATTCAGAGCTCTGCATTACCTCACTTTTTCTGCCGTCAATGCCACTACAAATGTCTAGTCGGCGCACGTGCGCTTGTCGAGCGGGGACCACCAGTCGGGCGATTCAGAGCTGCCGCCCAATCAGAACGCCGCAATGCCGTGACGTCATTGGTCGCACACGACACGTTACGGAGATAGGGATGAGACAGCCCTGAGCCCGCACATGCCATTTTCCCATCCTAGAACGCACATGGGGGGTGGGGGTGGTTGCCACCCCCCGCGCCATTTCGTCCTGTTGGAGATAGAGCTTAGCGGTAAAGACCAAAAAGATTATTTGGGAAGAGACAAATCCAATGATACCCAGTTTTACCTTCTCAGGTCAGTCATTGACCTTCCAGGTCAGGTCAAACTAAAAAATGTTGCTGTTTTGGGTCACCGTTGAATATCAAGTGCGCTGCTTATCATATACCGATGACGATGCCGTTTTCTGGTGCCAAGCCAGCTAGAACCTCTTTGTCACACTACCCGACCAGGTTTTTGCTGCTGATGTCATTTCAGGTCAAGTTAGGTCAAGGTCAATTATATGTGTTTGTATGTCTGTGTGTGTCTGTGTGTATACTGATGTGTGCACCGATTAGTTATGTGTCCATATTACATGAAATCATGATCTGAGAAGCTTTTACCAAAAATGCAGTCAAAAAAACTTCACAAAAAGTAAATTCCGCTTGCCTAAAACGCAATTATCTTAGATGACCTAGGTTGACCTTGACCTTGACCTTGACATCTGTACATCGTCGAACAACATGTTCCATGATAGGTGGGAGGTAAGACTGGCAAAAAAGGCCGAAATCAAGGTGTCAAAAGCTCACAAGGCCCATAGCCAACGCAAGATGTTGAGAATTGGCCATTTGGGTCATGACATGACCTGAAAAACAAGGTCATATCTCCGAAACCAAAAATCACAGAAACTTGAAATTTTCAGTGGACGTCAAGGAAGGATCGAGTAGCAGCTATACGAAAAATCAGCCTTCTAGCTCTAAAAATGTTGAGTGCAGAGCAGAAAGACTACCTGGGGGGGGTGGCAACCACCCCCCCCCCCCCATGTGCGGGCGAGGGTTAAGACCAAACAAATTTGTGAGGAAATGCGCCTTTTTCCAGCGCGTGCCACGTGCGAACCATCCACCCCCGAGACCCGAAACACGCCACTGCACGTGCCCATGACGTCATCAACACCTTGCGAAAATTTCAGCCCAATCGACCGCACCGTTTGACCTGTACACGACGTCAAAGCACCCCTCTACACGGTGCAAACAGACAGAAAGACAGAGTTTCATTTCACAAATAGTATAGTAGATTGGAAGGTGGCACACTACCTTTAAATCTTGTCTTTGGCTGGGACCGGACGTCGTCATGTGACCCTGTAAGGGATACCCCACGGCATCCTGATGGGACTACTCATACTCCCCGCCTGAGCTGACGAGAGTCTCCGGGCAGTTCAGCTCGGCCGGTGCTGAGACTGCCAAAAGAGACGTGCGCACGCCCCCGGCTGCGGCCCGCTGTCCCATTAGCGCGGCTCAGTTTTAGCACAGCGCGTGACGCGCATACCGGACTATGTACCACCCCATGCCGGTTGGTGTGACCGGACACCTTAAATGACAGGGCGGCAGCTGGGTGCATATACTGAGTCCGGCGACAGGTAAGTCTCGGACTTAGGATCTTTCCTGCAGTTCCTCATAACGACCCGTTCCAAGCCCGATGATTCCCTCACCCCGCGCCGCACCCCCAGTCCCGATCTATCCCGTGCCGTGCCATCCCCTGGACCAACCAACCGAGGGCTATTGAGGCGGCCGCCGAGCCGGCCTTTCAGCGCGTTTTTGCGGAAGCACGACCCTTGCCGGGCGTTTAATGGGTCCCATTCTGGCGCGCCGCGCCACCGGTGGGTAATTTACGGCGCAGTGGCGGCATTTGCAGCGCAGGGGAGAGCAGGGAGGAGAGAGGAGCGCTGCCATGACCCGGCTCTCGGCGACCAGAGACACCCCGCCGAGCCGGTGTCAGCGCCGTCTGACCAACTGCCGACCCGGGGCCCGTATATCGGACCGGCAGACACCGGCCGTGACGTCACTGGATCGAGACAGACGCCGCTCAACGACGTCATCGTCATTCACGTCATATGACAACGGCAGAAAGAGACGTCACGGCAGAAAACATATACTGGCGGTTCACTGTGTCTGAAAATATCATATCACAAAAAAAGTTGTGAATGTTGTATAATGTATGTGTTGACTGTTGAGCATGTGTGGTACTCGTGTGACGTTAAACCAACCATGCTAATTTTGGGCAAAATATGGCTAATTGCACTGTGAATGATCATAATGCACCATTCAACAAAAGCCTTTACTTCAAATACATAAAATGCAGCAAAATTACCGTATTCACCGGACCTACATATACTCAACAGTAAAGCAAACGAACTTTGGTCAAAGTTTTCTTCTTAACTTCGTTTTAGGCAAACGGTTTGGTGGATTGATGCTTCGCTGATAAGAAATACAATACAGATAGAAAGTTTAAAGAAAGAAGCATAGGTATGTACGTACATGATTGTGTCTAATAAGCCCTCTGCGCAGCTATGCTTGCCCTTATGTAGAGCTCACTTCGACCTCGGGATGCTCATACGTTTTTCAGTGGTCGGTGAGGCTCGAAAATGATTCGCTCAGTTTGTTGTTTTGAAAGGTGGACAGCTAGCGCTTGATAGCGAGGCGATTAAAGCAAATCGCTCACAACAACCGGACGTACATACATTCCGATGCAATCGCACCACGGCCAAAAACATTCATTCGAACCGGTGTAGGTAACCGCCAGGCGGTTGATGTGGGTTCTGATTTCGTTCGGCGGATGATGGGCGGCTGTTACCGAGCTATAATCCCCGCCGATCCGCGCATCGCCTTCTCCTCTGCTGGCCTCGAGGACAAAGGCAACTGGAGGGACACTCCGCCGCTGTTACCGAAAATGTTTGGGACATGTTTCATCGCTCAGAGCTTTATAAGTTACGAAGTTGACATCATCTTTATCTTCCAAAATAGGCCAATTAAAAAGCAGTACCTACCTAATTGTAGCTAAAGCTGTTGTAAATTTCTATTAGTTTCTCTTCATGCTTCAAAAACTTTTGATTTAAAAATATAAAATCATTTTCTTCTCATTCATCTGTTGTGGTGAATATAGCATTTAACATGGCATTCGTTGTACTTCATTCACTGTCCCTTAAACGCCGACCCTGGCGCCGCAGCTGAAGCAATCAGCAGCTCTGCGGCGTGTCAGACGGCGCCGACACCAGTTGTCGTTCGGCGGTCATTTGCGGCCGGCTGTCGTGACGACTGTGATTTGCCAGATCGGCTGTGATTTGCCAGATCGGGTCCGGCCGGGCGGGAATGACTGTCCAGACTCCAGACGTGTGATGTCGTTCAGGGTATATTGACTTAATGTCGTTATCACTGCAGGGGACGAAGTGGGGGAGGGAGAGGGAGAGAAAGAGAGAGAGGGGGGGAAGAGAAAGAGACACGTAGACGTAGACAGATGTACTCGTAAAAACATGCCGACTTATAGTGGTTAGTCTATTCTGATTTGCATATGCGCCTGTGGTATACCTACGTCTGTCTATCTTTGCAAATGCTATCACCATCATGATACGATTTAAATACGACGAAAAATGTGATATAATACGGAGATTCTACATGACCTTTTCGGTCTGAAGCATAAATGTGTTCATTCAATATTTCATGTGAGCAGATTTGTGGGCTGCACATCGCCGCACGCCTATTTGCGCTGAATCTCTTTCTGCACGTAATTTCACAGGTTGTCTTCGTCGACTATGCATTTAAGCTTTCCTTTCACCAAAACCACCTTGACACGGAAAGCTACGTATCCAGCAACCATTACGAGCTTTGAATAATTATTCATGGCAGGTGGGTATGTATGTGCATAAGCCAATGCGGCGCGCTCGGTGCATTTTTCTGCGTTGCTCCACCTGTCCCAGACGTCAGAGCGATTCCACATGGTCCGTTGAACACCACACGCCGTAACACATGGCAGTGACATGCTGGGGAAGTAAGACAGGCCTGGAGGTGACCGATCCACACAGGGACAGGCTGCATCTGTCATGTGGCACATGTCCACGCGTCAGCACGTCAAGAGGAACTATATTAGTGTGATGACGGGCAAACTGCATATCTTGCAAAGCAGGGTCACCAGATTATGTTTGATACCAGGTTAAATACGAGCTGGTATGTGCCAGGTGATCACGACCCAAGTGGAGGGTATATGTGTTCGGAACTTTTGTTGCATGCGTAAGTTTACATGTAGCTGTATCGATGCTCGAAAAGCTACTCAGTTCATTGCCTATGCACTTATTTACCCACAAGATCCGTTTTTTGGCTATGGCTGACTGCTTTGGTGGCAAAAAAGGAGGGTTGTCATATTATCCACCACTGGTAGCTAAAAGGTCGCTACCGACTGGTTTAGATTCCACCCAGCTCATCTCTCCCCGCTTCCCGCCAGTCGCCGCTACGGCACTGTCCCAACACGGGTAACCGCGGCAGCGGCGGTCCCTCTGATCCACATTCGCTCTGATGAGAGGTGCTCTGTGGCTC